GATGGATGGATGGATGGATGGATGGATGGATGGATGGATGGATGGATTAACGGAGTATCACGTGCCTCACTGAAAGGATTGTAATGAAACTCTCAGAAAATAATCAATGGATGCACAACTACTTTTTTAACTGCTTGAGTCAACAAAATTCAAGATGGCCACCGCAGCTAATCAACATTAGCCCACACAAAACTAGCCATGACTGTGCCAGTTTTACAAATATTCAGCTAAAGTTTGGTGTGGTAGTAGCTCAGCATGAACCTCAACTTGTAGTCTGAATGGTAATGGATCCCAACCCTGGTCCCTGAGGAACACCTTCCTGCATGTTTTAGTTGTTCCTCTGCTCCAACACACCTGGTTTGAATGAAATGGTGATTAACAGGCTTGTGCTAAACTTAAGGAAGTAATTAAACCACTGAATCAGGTGTGTTGGAGCAGAGAAACAACTAAAACATGCAGGACGGTGTTCCTCAAGGACCAGGGTTGGGAACCACTGTTTATGTTAGACTTGAGGTTAAAACTTTGGAATCCACTCTCCGGTTGTTAGCAAAACATTTTATGAAACACTGATTCAAATGAAAGCATGTGCATCCGCAACTGATGAACTTATGGACTTCGCCCAGTTCAAGATGGCCGCCACAGCTAACTGACCTTAGCTCTGCTTCAATGAATTTTACCGATACTGAGCTAACATTTTGCGCGGCCGACATTCATAACAGAAACTCCAACTGCGAACAGATCTTGCAAGATGTTGCAACATTGCATGAGACTGCACAGAACGATATTTACAAAGTGTGACCTAAACAACTACAACTTTGTCATTTATCAACATGCCCTGATCTTAGTCTTATAATATAATATAATATATAATATTCATAGCAATTTGGATCCAAACAGAGATGGACATCAACTAACTTTCCCCACTGCTGCGATGAGAGGAAACTCCAAACAAACTCATAAATCGACAGATGTGTGTGACAGTGTGTGTGTGTGGAGGGCATTATCATTGTAGGCTCTTCGAATTAGAACAAGATTATCAATGATCTTGAGACACGCGTGTATCAGCCTGTTTTTAGTGGTAAACAACACAAATGTGGGCTATTCCAACGAGCTAAAAAGCTAACAAAAGATATCAGGAAGGTGAAATCCCTGCTGGTGGGCTGAAGTGAATAATCACAAATAAACAAGCGCACATGAACTCTTACTCTTAGAAATGACACAGACACATCAAAGCATTTGTGACATTCAAAAATTCTGTTTGTAAGCTTCCACAAACACCAAGGTCTCCATTCACTAGCTGCGCCTGGCAGCACCAACAGGCTGCTTTGTTCTGACTTTCCTGAACAACCTTTTCAGGTTGGTTTTTTCAGGCGGCCATGTAACTGCAAGCACACATGGAACAGGCGTTGCAACATACGTGTGTTAACTATTGCTCAAATGAACTGCAGAACGTCCATTCATATTGTAAGCTTTTGATGTTTCCACTGTGCGCATCGCATAATGTAAAAAAATTAATAAATAAACAGTTCAATCTTATTTAGATGTTCGATTTTACAATATATATGTTTTAAACAGAGTAAAAGGGGAAAGTGCACATAGAAAAGACAGCCCAGTTGTTGACATATAAACATTGCTGTGTTGCTGCTGGTCTTGCACTTTAAACTGCTGTGCATGAATTCTGGAGGGGGCGGTTAATCGGTTGGACGATTTTTTTTTTAATCAGCGATATATTTTTTAAAATAATCGGCCATAGTTGTGCATACAACTTTCTGTGAGTAAACAAAAGCACATGTTGGCAACCAGTCACTAATTTCCTTATATTATTTTTAATTTAAGGACCATTTATTTATGCAACAGTAAAAGTTACTAAATGCGTGGGTTACTTTTATTAATTTATGTTTGTCAACGTTCATCTTTTTGAATTTTAAAACCAATTTAACCCAGAGGCATGATCTTAATGTATTCCAAAGTTCCTTTAAAGCACTTTCGACCGAGGCCATTCGGTTCAACCTACAGTTCATATATTCTCATTGAGCTCGCCTACCTTCAAAACAACACGTTAGCGTGCGTGAAAAGCCCGTGACAGCCGTTGAGCAGACTCGGCTCGTGTCTCAGGAGAACCTGCCTGTTGCTTCAGCAGGAGAACAGGAGGGAAAGTAGGACGCAAACAAACAAACACGAACCATCTCCCTCCGAACACCGAACCGCAGCGTGTTCGGGCCGGACTCGCGCTTTGTTGACAAAGCGCTGTCACAACATTATTTCGCAACGAAGAAGAAGAAGAGTGGCGCGAGAGAGACGGACAGGCGCGAGGACGAGCACCTCCTCCGCCTCCTCCCCTGGCTCCAGGCGCCCTCGGCGGCACTCACCTCTGCGGAGCGACCAAACTTGTTCTCCTTTTTTCATAAAACGAAGCCGAGAGTCTTCCAACGCGACGCGAGTAAAGCTCCGTGCGTCAGTTGCTCCCCACAGTTCACGCGCTCTGAGCCTCGCTCTGTCTCTGACACATAACCCCGCCCACTTCCGGCGGTGCTTCTACGTCTGACGGTTCCTGCAGGGACGGATCTCCTCCAGCCCGGAGCAACTTCTGTCATTTATTAACCCCACGGCCCCCCCGCATCATAAACATGTTGTCATCTCTATAGACTTCCATATATATATATATATATATATATATATATGCACATATATGTGTTTGTGGAGTAGATCTGTCTACAAAAACAGCAGCTTTGTTAAAAACAGAATTTTAAAGAAAGAACTAAACCATCAAAATATGAATCACTTTGAAAGTTCTGTATTACCACAATAAATCTAATAATAATATTAATACAGTATTACTATTTTTTTTATCAAAACCTATAAAACTAATATAAACCTTATTCCACTTATTGCTCTACTGATGTTAAATAGCGCCACCCTCTGGTGCTGTTCTATTAAACATGTCCCGGTAATGCAGGGCTCTGCAACTTTTACCATTTCTGCCACTTCATTCACTAAATTAAATTTGTCCAGAGCCGCAACAACTTGCAACAACTGTGATTATCAACTGGTGGCCCATGGACCAGTTTAGGTTTGTTGGAGGAGACTTTTGGGACCAGCGGGGTGACATAAAGCTAAAAATATCTAATGATTCTTAACATTTATTGATGTTTTTACAATTTAAGACAGATAAAAATACTGGATTCTTTTAAAGAGGGGGGGAAACATGAACTGCAGACCTATGTATTTTTTTAATTTTGAAGAAAAAATTATTAAGTATAGAAATAAAGCAAAAAGTTAAAGTATATGCAAAAGAAATGAAACCAGCTAAAACTACCAGTAGTACTTTTGTTGTTGTTTGTATAACAACCAATAAAATTCAGTTTCATGTTAGTTTTGGTCAAAGCTTAAAGAGCCTCTGCAGAGTGACCAAAGAGCCACATGTGGCTCCAGAGCCGCAGTTTGCAGACCCCTGCAGTAATGCATTAAAATCGACAACGTTCACTTTTTTTAATTAAAGATCTAACATTCATGAAGGAATGCATGTCACCCGCCGTCTTTTTATGCCAGTTTTAAACCGAGTTCATGTTCATTCATGCTGAGGAGCTATGGTATTAAAACCATGCATGTTAGGCTGCCTTCAGGTCCAGACCTCCCTTACAGAAGAGAGACTGTGATCTCAGTGGGACTTGCATGGTTAAATAAAGGTTAATAAAAAAAAATAATGTTTTTTTTTTTTTTTTTTGCAAACAGCAGTTGACTGTCAAAATTAATATCCAGTATTTATTGCTTGCACTATGCAGATGACTCTCAGCTACTAAAACACCAAATTCCAGCTCAACATCTGTAAAATCAACTGTGTTACGACCTTTTTTTGTGTTGGCTTATGTTGATTAGCTGTGGCGACCATCTTGGATTTAACTGACTTCAAACGGTAACCAGTCGTAGATGAACATTCATTTATCTTCTGAACATTTCAATCAAATCCATCCTGTGGTTCACGAGATATTTTGCTAACAGAAAAAAATGAATTGGATCCAACAGTTAATGCTAATGTTTCAATCAAATACCTTGCCCAGTGAGTAGCAGTTGAAGTATGTGTTGGGTATGACTCTCAGTTACCACCACACCAAATTTTAGGTGAAGAACTGTAAATTTGATGGAATTATAGTCAATTTAGTATATTTTACGTTCAGTCGGCTGTAGCGGCCATCTTTACTTTACTTGGTTTAATCAGTTATAGATGTACACTCAATGATTATTTCCTAAATGTTTCGTTAAAATGGATTCATTGATGCATAAGATATTTTGCTAACAGACACTTAAACACAGTCAGAGGCAAAAATGTTTTTTTGTTGCAGGTAAGATTTGCTTTTATACATATTACATGCAGCTATTTATTGTTTAGTTATTTTAATTTAGGTTTTAATTGGTTTATTTTTTTCTCTAACCATGATTAGTTTGTTAACGTCAGAGAAAGACCGTCTCTGGATATTAGATGCAAATCTTATGTACAATGTTTTACACTGTTTCTCGGCTGTGGCTTAGAAAAATCCAGGGTTTGTTTCAGTGATTGTAATGAGAAAAAAAGTGTTCCACATTCTTATAACCACGCGGGGGAAAGCCTTAATTTATGGGAAGTGTCACTGGGTCTGAACACACACCACAGCTGCAGCCTGATGCTCTGGTTTGATCGGCTGCAGGCCGTGACAGAGAGGTGACAGTTGCTTCCTCAAACAGCTGAGTCAGCAGCCACTGATGGTAAGGGCTGTGCATCTCCTTCAGCCCGCCTATTTTTATTCACCATACTCAAAAGAAACCTGAAACAAACGAGGCAGAGCGAGCTGCGATGCTGAAACTGCCTCCTTCCTGTTTGTTTTAACCGGTTGCCCTCAGCGGTCCTGTATTCTCAAGCAGACTCGTGGGAATCCCAGCAGTCACACGACTGCGATCTAAATCTTTGCTGTCCTGTAGAACACGATAAAAAGAAAAATGGAGTTTCCAGTCAGGGAAGTCCAGCAAACGTAACATAAGTCAAGAAAGATTTATTTTTAACGGCAGTGAAAAGTTCTCACGTTTATTTCAGTGCTTGGGTCATTGTGAACTCAAGTTTTTGTTCTGTATGGAACACAAACTGCAGTTCTTTTATTTGACAAGAGCTAAACAGAAGCCCTGAGTTCTTCAGGAATTTAATCTATCAAATTAAAACATGCTTTTTTTTTTTTTTTTGCCTGTCTACACTTTTAGATTCTGTCTATTTTCTTTTGGCAAAATTAAGAATAAAGTTTAAAATCTGACATGCAAAGCTCTCAACAAACACGCACCCTCTTCAATGGAAGGTCTAATTGTTCTGTATCGTCCAAACAGAGAACTTTAGATAAATAACTGTTACAGACGTTTCATTGTGATGTATGTGATGTGTTACATGCAACCGTGGTTCAATCTGAAGCTGGATGTTTTGGACTGAACTGGATTGTGGACGGCACAGTTGGTAGAGTTGTCACCGCTCAGCGAGACAGTCGTCAGATTGAATCCGGACCAGGGGGCCATTCTGGGTGGACTTTGCATGTTCTGTCCGTGCATGCGTGGGTTTTCTCCAGGTACTCCGGTTTCCTCCCACAGACCAAAAACATGCACGTTAGACTGATTGGTAACTCTAAATTGTCCCTAGGTGAGCGTGAGACAGTGAATGGCTGTCTCCGTGTGTCCCTGTGATGGACTGGACACCTGTCTTAGGTGTACCCTCTCACACAGTGATGGCTGCACATGGGCACCAGTGACCCCCGTGACCCAAAAAGGAAGAAGCAGGTAAAGATCGTGGATGGATTTTTCTTTGAATTGTGCCCTGAGATTTATTTTGTTGTGAATTGGTTCTACATAAATAAAAGAACTAAAGCAGGATTATTCAACTCAACTGCTCAGGGGGCACAGTCACTGAGCGCCAGCAGCCCAGGGGCTCGACATCCTGCAGTAAAGTCATTCTGTAAATAAACTAAGTACAATGTTACCAATTCTTATCAATCAGTTACCTTTTAAATTTGTTTATGGCATTGAATCATGAATGCAACAAACCAAACCCAGACCCCCACCACCACAACTCCTCCAAATGTTATTTTTATGAACTCAGTGGTGGGCTGGACTGAAGCACCCGCGGGCAGGAAGGGGCCCGTGGGCCGCCAGTTGAACAGCCTTGTGGATTCTCTGTCCATACTGGTCTCCCTCTAAACAACTGCATTCACTGTAGCTCCCATTGCAAACATGTTTGTTACGAGGCCACAGATTTTTCAGACCCAGTTACAGAATCTGTTGAAATTGTCCTTAGATTTATTTTAAGAACAAAGCGAACTTCAGTAAAACAGCTGGATCACTATCCTGACACACAGCAGCACCAAGGAACAGCAGCCACCAATTTGTTCCTGCTTTACTAGATCAGGGCTTTTCAACTGGCGGCCCGCGGGCCACCTCCGGCCAGCGGGTGACCTTAGTCCGGCCCACCAAGGAGTTCCTAAAAAAATAATAATTGGTGGTGGTGGTGGTGGGGGGTGTCTGGGATTGGTTTGGGTTCGGTTTACTGCATTAGTGCTTCAATGCAACAAAATAAACAAATTAAAAAAGTAACAGATCATTGTAACACTTGGTTTATTTACATAATGACTAATTGCTGGACGTCCGGCCTCTGGGCTGCCGGCTTGTTTATTGAATAGTATTAAACGCAGTTTTTCCTCATGTGAAGTCTTAATTTTTTTAAAGATTTTCTGACATTTCATCTAGATTAGTACAAACATAATGTCCACAGCATCCGCTCTGTATTTATCCTCCTGGTTTTACAGCAAACGGACAACGTGCAAACACAGCAGAACATTTTCTCAGATTTGGTGCCTTGTGCTGATCTGTGTGCCGCTTTCTACTCGCTCACTGAAACTGTGGATGCGTTTACATGCATTTGGTATACAGCTATTAAAAAGTTTATCAAAAAGACAAACTTTGCAGAAAAGCACTGGACCAAATTGTGCACATATTTTCTCGATCATCAGGTGCTCGTGTGCAAACTACGAGAAAAGAATGTATCCAAGAAGTCTGAAGCGAATGATGCAGTTTCACTGAAGCTGCACTAGTTTTTAAAAAAGGTTTCTTTGAAGCACAAAAACATTTAGATGATTTATTTAACTGGGGATTTTTTTTTTGGCTGTGAAACTAAAAAAATATGAAGTGAAACTCAATCCTCAGTTGCTCATAAAATCACACATTTTACATCTGATCATCCAAACAATTAAACATTTAATTACAAATTTTAATAGCCAATCCAATTTATATGTTCACACATGACAGTATTTAGGTGAAAAACAGTGTGCCACATTTACAGTTACAAATACTAATTCATACAACAGGGAAGAAAAAAGGCGGAACATTTAAGTGACAAAAATACTTTTACTGCTTGAATCACTCTTCGTTCAGTGAGATATGGATCATATCTAAACGCAATCTTACAGAACCCTTGGGACCAAGGTTTGGTTTATGATGCAACTCATTTGGCAGAGACACTAATTTAAACCAGTGCAATTCTTAAAACAGCACGTAGCTTATTCAAAAACTGCAATTCCTTATTCAAAGAATAAAACACAAACATTTAAAATGTCAATAAACAAAATATTCTCAAAAATACCATTTCATATATGTATATATATATATATATAAAGGATTATATTTTTAAAGGTATCTAAAACAAAGAAAAAAGGAAGAACAAAGTCATCAAAAACAAACATAGGACAGAACGACAATAAAAGCTTAGAAGTGATTGTTTTTTAAAAGAACAACTTTCCTTTTCTTTAAAAAAAAAAAAACATTTTCTATGTTGTGACGTGGGGGCGATTTTACAGAGGAACAGAAAACAAACTGTACAGGTAAACTGCGAGTGGAGGAGAAACAAACCAGGGCTGAATCCTCAGCTCAGCGTGCCGACAAAAACAAACTAAAAGAAACTAAAGAGGCTGACGTTTGCGGTCACATTGGAGAGGCAACGTCCATGTTCACCGTGATCGAATCTAGAAAGGAAACAAGAAGACACTGGTATTAGCCGAGCTGGATAAGATCTGAAATCTTAAAGAGTTTGAAGTTGAACAGTTTTAAAGATAATCTGTTTCATGTAAACTTAATGCGAAAGTCGTTATGCTAAAAGCTAAGAAGAACTTTAAAGTACCAGGGGTGTAACGGTGCACGTATTCGTTTGGTACAGGTACAGAAAAGTACACGCAAAATACGCAGCTGGAAGTGAATGCACGTTACATTTCAGTGGTTCCCAACCATGATCCTTGAGGAACGCCATCCTGCAAGTTTTAGTTGTTGCCCTGCTCCAACAGACCTGATTAAGTGATTTAATTACTTTCTCAATTTCTGCCAAAGCCCGTTAAGCATCCATTCATTCCAATCAGGTGTCAAAGCAGGGAAACAACTAAAACATGCAGGATGGTGTTCCTCAAGGACCAAAGTTGGGAACCCCTGTATTTAACTGATCAGAAGGAGACACTAATAAAACGTAAATCAAACATTACCAGCTGGGTCAGCATAACACTCAGATGTTTAAATACCTGCCTGTTTGTTTCAATTCAGTGGGGTGAAAAATATGTAAGGCAAGCAGTTATGTCATATAATGTGTGTTTTGAAACACTACTATTTGTGTAATTATTTTATATTTATGATATTAGGAGGAATCTTGCCACATTAGCCCTCAAATGCTGAGAAACTTGATGCGACTGTTTCATGTTTTATTATTATTTTATTTTTCACACTGAGAAAAATTACTCAGTTCTGTTTTGCCTTAATTTGGCATCAAGTCTGGTTCAAATTACTTAAAGCAAACCCTTCCTAGTTCTATTTGATTTTTTGCTAAATCTTCCCAACCTAAAAGAGCAAAGTTTTTCTGGCGTTTATCAAACTTTCTGTTTGGCATGTGACCACACCGTCTGGTTTACATTAAATTTTATAGTGAAAATAGCAGTTCAGCAGTGCAGTACATGATCTACTACCTTAAAGCTACTCTGCAGCAAGGGTGGTTTCTTCCCATTACTGCTTCTGGTTTGTTAAAATTAAACAAAGCAAAAGATGTTTGGCATTTGTTTCTTTTTACTCCTGTTATTTTTCGGGGGGGGGAGTTCCCTGATGTGTACAAAAATGAGCTGTGATTTAGGAGCACCGTTACAGCCAGAGTGTGCATGTAGCGTTAGTGACCGACCCAAATGTCCTTGAGTGGCTTCAGCTTCACCGGGAATCAGGGAGTCGAGAGAGTCGAGGGTGCGAGGCGACATGAGGAACAGGTCACTGGTGTTTCCAGAGTTTGTGCTGTGAAAACACACGCAAAGAGAAGGAAATGAAGGAAACGCATAACGCAGCAGAGCAAAGTGTTCATGACAAACAGGCCATGCTCTTTCTGTCAGTCCGGGCACTTTCAGTACAACTGCTGTGACGTCTTCGTCGTCCCACTTTTCCACAAGGGAAAAGGTTTTGCTTCTGCTTAAAAGCATTAAATTGTGTCAGTTTTGTGAGCGTATTAGTCATCAACTACCTCATTTGTGTTGGAATACAGAGTTGTGTAAAAGATAACACGTGGAAGGTTTGAAGTAGGACTGGGCAAATATTTCCATTTTATTCTGCGACTGCTTTTGTCTTAGGCAGTGCTGAGTCCAATGACACAAAAGACACATTGAATGATGTTAATGGGAACTTCTTTCAAGTCGATGTCACAACAGTTGGTAAGCAAAGTGCATTATGTGGAACGTCAGGCTTACGAAACACTACAAGCTGTTTTTATTTTTCTTCTTGTGTTGAACTAAGACAATATTTTCTACGTCAGTGTTCCCACAGAAATAATGAAATGATGTGGAGTGATCTTCAAAGATAATTGTATTAATAGCTGAAATCTTTAATCCCCTCTCTCTCACGGTCACGCCAAAAGTAATTTATAAAATATGCAAATGGAGACTTGGGACAGATCGTCTTGAAAGCAGGAGTCTAAATGAAAAAACTGATGAACTGCTCGTGTATTAGTAATGGGAACTGTGGTTGTGAACCAGATGCACAAACAAAATTAACTTAAATGTGATTATTGTAGCAATGTCTGTGGATCTATCTAGCAAACAGAAAAGTGACAAAATGCACACACAGCCCTACATGCCACCTCCCCACCAAAGGGCCTACCCTGGGAATCCGTTCCCAAGCAGCTCACTGTCTGGCAAGTCCATGAACACGGAGGGACACCTACGGAGACAGGTCAGGATCTCACTGAGAAAACCTCGCAAGGCACGAGCACGCCATCAATCCCATCATTCACCACAGTAAACATGGCTAACGCTTGGTTTATAGAGTCCCCTGATGTTTGTCAACCTCACGTCACCACCTGCACCTTCTTGATCTATTTGAGGTAAACCCCAAAACAATAAGGAACATTCTCACTAACTACTGTTGATCAATACCTAATATTCTAACCATGTTGTTTTAAACAACTTTGATTGGTTTTAGAAATTGCTATTCCAATCCTGTATATTTTTTTACATACATCAAAGAAAGTATATTTATTTGTAGTGCATAAAAAATGATGTCATGCATTTCTCTATAAACGCCACAAATTAACTGATCAGCTCCACAAACTCCCAGAAATAAAACAAAATAAATATTAAAAACTGTCAAATGGCCCATGTGAACTTTAGTCAAATTTGAGTTTGCAGCGCCGTCACTCAACCTGGTGGTGGTTTTATCAATAACAACTTCTCTACATTATTGAATATTAATTATAATGCTTGTCGTATCTAAAAAAAGTTAAGAGTTTTTGTCTTGAGCAGAAAGAATCAAACTTTGCAAAATGAATAATAAGAGCGGGGGTAAGGTAAGTCTGATGGATACTTACGGGGTAACACAGATGAACTTTGTCTTCAAATATGGCTGAGTAACTGTTATTAAAGAAAAACCAGGAAACAATGAGTGTAAAAAGCAATAAATATGCTTTAAAACTACAGATATGAGAAAGAACAAGACTTACTGCTCATCGAGTCGCTCGGCTCAGGTTCATGAGCTGCGTCTGGCCTGCAGTATTTACCAAAAGCATCCTCTTTGGGAATATCGGGATACAGATAAACAAGAGGTGAAACCAGAATGTTGGTGGCGTCCATGATCTTGTAGCCCATGATGATGTCAGCGAAAGACATGTTGCTGAGCTGCTGCTTGGTGTACGGCTCCACCGACTGGATCTGAGTCTTTCCTATAAACACACATGGAAAATCAGTGCCGTTACAAAAAAACAAAAACTAATTCTAAAAACAGTTGAGCTGCCAAACTACTCACCTCCGATGTCCTTTTCTACCCATGTGAACGTAATGCCCCCCTCCTTGCTGCTCTCGCTGAAGCGCAGCAGGAAAGTGCCAGGAGGTTTTGGACTCAGAATGGCTCTCTCCCTCTCCTTGCTGATAAAACCCATGATGTACCTGTTAACAGGGGACTCATCATTAACAGCCGCTCAGTGATCACGCCAAAACAATGTCCACAATGTAACAGGAAGTAAACATCCGTCCCTGATGGGGCTAGGGGACTAGAACAAAGGTGGGCAACAGTTTTTCTAAAGGGCCACATCAAGACGTTTAAATGAATCAAAGGGCCGCATGGAGAATTGGAACATTTTCTTTGTGACAGATAATCTAGAATACCTTTCGAGGTTTCTTCTTCTTCTTGTAGCACAGTTAGCGTGCTTTCTAAAAACATGTCTTTCCACTATCCTTTAGAAATATAAGACATAATCTGTAAACTGGCTCTTGTGACATACATGCTAGCTTAACATGTTTTACATGCCGTATTTTCTGCCGTACCCGTCGCACCGCCCAATAAGTCGCATCAGTCCAAATACGTCTAATAAAGTGGGAAAATCCATAAATACGTCGCATCTATTATGTGTCACCGCTGACAACCCGGAAACGTGGACCGGTGTTGTGCCAAAAATCGATTGGCTGCCAAATGGCGGCCGCGGGAGCGTGCACGGGAGGACTTTAACAAGAATTTAACCAGATTAACACTTAAAAACAATTATGCGTTTGCACAAAATGATAGTAAAGGTGTGTCTCAGTCGAACTTTTCCTTAATAAATTAACTTTGACGGTCAAATCAGCTGCATTTCAAAAGCCGATACGCGGAAACATGAACACGCAGAGGGCGACTCGCTGTGCATTTCTTAGAAATTTAACAATATAACCACCTAAAAACAATTATTTAACTCAACTTTATAGTAAAGGTGTGTCTCAGTTTAACTTTTACTCAATAAATGCACTTTAATGGTCAAATCATTTGGCCGGGGCGGCGCGGTGAAATGAAGCTGATTCGGTTGCTCCAGGCAGATGACGGTGGAAGGCTATGGCAAGTTGATTGTGTCATTAATAGCCACTTTTACCTATTACATGATACAACAGCATGCCATACGGCTCGACTGTCATCTAGCGGCTGAAAATGGTAGTGTTCAATACTTTCAATGTCAGAAAGAATGAAAACGATCATATTTCAGACAAAAATTGGTTTATAAATATGGGAAACAATCCATAAATACGTCGCTTCGGCGTATAAATCACAGGGCGTGTAAATTATACAAAAAATCTGTGACTTATAGGGCGAAAAATACAGTGTCAGTCGAAATTTGCAAACTTATATATTTGTGTTTCTAAGTCTTTAAGGTTCAGTCTATTTCTGGAAACAGAATTACTTTTATTTTGTGTAAGAGGTTTAATTTAAATTTCCTTGTCTTGTTGATTTTTTTTTTAAATCAATCTATTTTTTTAAAAGTTGTTTTCTTTTGAACCAAGAACATTGGGGGCCTGATGGAGGTTGTTTACTCGGACCTTAAGTTGTCCATGTCTGGACTACAGTGTGAATACAGAACGACTGCTCACCCTTCATTCCACAGTGCAAGGATATACTTCTTCACCAGGTCGATGATGTTGTCCAGCCACACCCAGAAGGAGAAGCCTTTGCCAGCCATGTTTTCCTAAATAAATAACTCTTATAAGCCCAAACCATGCCAAGACGACAGCCTGACGTGTTTTTGGTTGTCGAGTGAAGTACCTTACAGAACTTGGCCCATGTTATTTGGCATCCAGAGTAGTTGACACATGGCCCTAAATGTCCAGTAGGGGGGAAACGCAGCCATAATCAATTTTAAAAGAAGAAACTAGAAACTTTATTTATTTTTTTGGCTCATCATATTACCAAGTAGTTTCTCAGCCAAAGTGGTGAGCTGCTCGATGGTCAGGCCTCTCTTTGTGGTTGAGGAGAACTGCCAGCTCAACACTTCGGCCACTTGGTCCCAAGTCCCCACTGGAGGCTTGGTGAAGAAGTTCACGTTCTGTAAAAGAAGACCAAAAGCTATGAAGTGAAAACCTCACAGCTCCTCACCATAAAACAGAAATAAATCTGCATCTAAAAATAATGCCGAGCTGGTGTTCCTTGTGCGGAGTTCAGACTCGTTCCACCAGAGGGAGCCGTCTTACCTTTGGGTGATTGGTGAGCATGTTGTACCACAGGATGGAAGCCCAGGCGTTGGGCATCTGGCAGATGTTTGAAATGACTACCACAGGCAGCGAATGAGTCTGCAAGCGAGGAGGACAACTTCATTTCAAACGTGTGTTTTTCTTTCTGTTTTGAAACATTTTGTTCCACTGATTTTACCGACGTTCACTCAAAGTGCAACACAAGGTTAATGTTAATGTCTGATTCAGAAATTATTCAAGCTGCCCACAAGGCAGTCTTATGTATGTCTGATAAAGTAATAATACAGAAATTGGCGCTTCTTGTGTTGCAGAATTTTGCTTAAAAATGTATATGTATAGTTTTACAAACTCCATGACACCAAAGAGTTATCTCCATTTAAGAGACTAGTGTTAATTTATGTTATTGAACATGTAGCGCACCCAGTAAGGAACAGGAAAATGTTTTTAAAAATCAAACAGTGTAAACCTGCTGATTACCTCCCTACAGCAGCGGAACAAGGATAAAGTTACAGCTGAGCTGATGGAGGTTTATCTGACATTTTTAGATGTTGAGGTGGAAACAGACTGAAAGGCATGAAACTTTGTAAATTACTCTTTTTTTATCGCTTTGCATATGCCTCAAGAACATTTGCTATAATGTAAGAATCTTATCAAGTGTTTGTTGCACTAAAGTACTCTACTTCCTCAGGCGGCTGAGACGAGCTGGTCTGGAAGCTCAGTCCTCACCTCCTTCTACAGGTGTGCAGTGGAGAGCATCCTGTGCTCCAGCATCAACGTGTGGCATGGAGGCTGCACAGCTGCAGAAAGAAAAGCTTTGCAGAGAGTGGTGAAGGCTGCACAGAAGATGTTGGAGTCAGCCTCCCCACCATCACAGACATCTACACCTCCAGATGCAGGAAGAGGGCCACCTGCATCATGAAGGACCACACTCACCCAGCACACACACTTTTTGCCCCGCTCCCCTCAGGAAGGAGGTTGAGGAGCATTAAGTGCAGAACCACTAGACTGAGGAACAGCTCATAAATCCCTCATCAGGATTATCACTGTAATGCCACTTTAATTGTTGCTATGTCACTTTATCTGTGCTGCTGATTATCCATGCTGCTGATCTCTTGCCTTTAAGCTGCTGCATTCATACCCATCTGCTCACAACAGACTCTTGTTCAGGCTGATGTTTAATATACCGTATTATATTACATTATAATTGTTTAGCGTATATCTTAGATCCTTATATCCGGTTTCTATTTTTATACTTTATATGTTTGTTATTTTTGGGTATAACTGGGACCTTGAGTACACAGTTTCGTTCCACCTCATGTGCCACATGTGATGCGACTGACAATAAAGAACCTTGAACCTTGTATTGTTTGAAAGTAAAGGACCAGAAGAGTCTTCAAGTTCTTGAAATAAACTGCAAGTGCTCACCTCCAGATCTATCTTCAGGCCTTGGTGATAGACTTCTGTCTCAAAGGTGATGAGGTGGAGCTCCTCTGTTACAATCAGAGAGGCCTACAGAAAGGAGATTTATGTTTTTAAACCTTCTATAATAATCACGAGTTTAATCCAAGCTTTTACTTTTAAACCGTGAACAAAACTTTCTCAAACACATTGTTAGACACCAAATCCAACCTTTGATGCCAATAAAAATAAAACTTACATCACTGTTAGTCCGGCCACCATTGCCACATCTTTGTTCTCGTAAGGTCTGAAACAAACAGGAAGTGAGCGCTCCACCTTTATCACTCCGCCTTTATCAAGTCGCTTCATCACTTTGAATCAGCAGCAACACTCACCAAGTGTTTGAACTCTGCAGAAAGGCTCCCGTTGTTAGACTCCTCCATGTTCATGACTTTTGTGTTAGTACCAAGGATGTTGAACTTTCGTGATCTGGGAACACGGTCGCAAAGCAAAAATAACTACGTCTCTTCTCTAGCATCAAACTCGTCGACTTCAGAAGGTGTTCTTACAGCCTTACCCTCGAATTGCAGCTACATCCCCCGTTTCTCTGAAAAACAAACAATTGAAGTCAGTGAAGCAGACATGCTTGTGAAGAATCTTTAATAAAATGAAACATCAGCTTGAAAAAGAAAACCAACTTGTCGATGCAGACTTTAATTTTCAGCTGATAATTGAGTTCAGGAAACTTTACCAGTAACCTTGAAATCAAAGCAAAGAAAGACAGAAAAACAAATTACTGGCAAACAGATTATTGCTATTTTTTATTATACGGAATACTTTAAATGTTCCAATAAAAATGTAAATATGTTTATGATATTTAATATAAATTTTAATCTTACCTGACTTTAGTTGTGAACTGCACTCCTGTTTTTATGACCAGAGGTCGGTCTGGATGCATGGGCATGCACGGCTGCCGTTCAACCACAAAGGCACTACACAAAGAAAAAAGATTCAGAGATTTTTTAGCAAATATTTAAAAAAAAGAGCAAACACTAGGTGATTAAACAAAAATCAAACTGCACTTAACAGCCTTTGTTCAAACAAACTGGGGGAGTTTATGTCATTATTCATAAGTGGCTTCAAAGCACAACAGAATGTGGAAAACTAAACTTGGATTCTTTCGTCAGCTATACAGGAAAGATCGATAAAGTCCAATACCTCTTCATCAGGTTTCTGAACAAGTCCACGATCTTTTCCTCCAGGGCGGGCCGATGCTGAATGATGGGGTCTCCTTTGTAGGACACCTTCTGCTGAAGCTCCTCCAGCTTCTTGATCTGTTGACGTATCTGGAGCTGGGACTCGGCCAAGGACGTGATCCTGATTTGAAGCATTGAATTCAGGTCAAACATCTTACAGAATAAATGCAGATGAATGAAAACACTGCCATACACTGTACATTTAGTCAGCTGAAACGTCACCAAAAATAAAACACATTTGGAACTAAATCAACTGAGTGGAACGTATTTTAAACACAAAATGCTCTTTGATTTAGAAACTGTGCTCATAATGTTCATATTTGATGATTACAGCACTAACATTCATATTACTGCACCATTCTGTCAACTGTAGTATCATAAACTGTTACATTTGCTTTAAAGAAGTAAATCACGGGTGTCCAAAGTGCGGCCACGGGGCCATTTGCGGCCCTTGGTGAGTTTGTGCGGCCCACAACTGCAGTTTAAGAAAGGTGTCATTTTGGCCAGCTGGCTTAAGAGATTGATGCAGACTTTCTGTAAATTACAGTATTTTTTGCTGAATAAGTCACAACTTTCTGCATAAATTTGCAAGTCCTACAACTTACACACCGAAGCAACTATTATGTTGTTGTTGTTTTTTTACGTATTTATAACCAGTTTTTGGCTGAGATCTGACAATTTAATTTATTCTGACATGGAAAATATTGAACTCTACCATTTTTAGCCACTAGAGGGCTCTCAACTGATATGGCAAGCTAAGTGTCTCATTAATAGGTAAAAGTGGCTATTAATGAGACACTTGGCTTGCCATACACCCACCTTTGTCTCGCTCTGGAACTTGTGGAGCAAACGTCAAATCAGCTTAATTTCACCGGAGAACTGCAGCTGATTTGACCATTAAAGTGCATTTATTAAGGAAAAGTTAAAATGAGACACACCTTTGCTATAATTTTGAGCAAACAATTAATTATTTTTAAGTGTTAATATTGTTAAATTTTTGTTAAAGTCCTCCCATGCACGCTTCTGTGGCTGTCATTTGGCAGCCAACTGATTTTTGGCACAACGGCCCACGCTTCCAGGTGGTCAGCGATGACGAATAATAGATGTGACTAATACGGCAAAGTGACATATTTATGTTTTTTCCCACTTTATTGGACATATTTGGACTGATGCGGTTTATACGGCGGCAAGTACGGTAGTTGGTAATCCTTTTTTATCTAATGTTTAGGTTTGAGAGCAAAACAGATAAAAAACAATCTTCTCAAAATGAGCAATATTTTGGCTATAATCTTTATATTTTTGGTTCGTGGTACAAAGCACCAAAAAACCTTCATGATTTCTACCAGAAAGGAGACTTTTGGATAATGATTCATAAAACTTGGCTAAATATTGCAGTTGATCAAATAATCAAGAGGGAAACTGGACATTTTTAAATGAATATAACGTGGTATCATCTACATACGAGTTGATCAAATTCATCGAACCTTCTATGAATCTGTTGCAGCGACTGACACCTGGACGATGTTTCAGAACTTCCATCATCCTTTTGGGCCGTTCATGGTCCAAAAGTCTGATCGACCCCCGATTTAAAATGACACTTACTCAAATTACGCTTTTGTTGCTGAGAACAGACTAAAATGAACTTTCCAAACACAAGAAAACAACAAACATAGACCCAACAAATCAAATAAATCAAATCATTTTTAATAAAAAATATAAGCTTAGTGTTTATGAGGCTTTTAATGTTTTGGATTTACAACAATTTAAAACTCTTTCTACACCAAAATTTGTAAACTTTTGTCCTTTCTACAAAATATTGTTAAATTCACATTCTTGTGGCCCACGAGTCATTTCATTTTAATAGTTTTGTCCCACACATGAAAACGTTTGGACACGCCTGAAGTAAATTGTTAAAAAATGTATTTTAAATGAGCAGCATGTGGTTATTACTGATGCGCCCAGAAAAAAGGCGTCATATTGATAGAAATGTGTGTTTACATGTTCTCGCTGCATGTGTGTGCTTCAGCTTCCTCCCACAGTCCTAAATATGCAAGTTTGGTTACTTAATCTAAATTACAGCGTAAAGATGTGAGTCAGAGTGTGTGCAGTCGTTTGGCTCTTTTTATTCCTGTAACAACCAGTTATTTTTAAAATGGCTAAAACTACCCTTCAACCCTGAACACAATGAAGATGGGCAGATTATAAAGTTCAAATTTGCAATATTTATAAAATCTGTTGATATGCATGCTTAAAATGACAACTTTTGATAACACAATCTGGTATATGTTTCTTGTTAAAATAAGAAGAATGTGTCTGGTTACCATGTTTCGAGGCGATCGAGGCAGATGTTTGGTGGACCTCCGATGCAGGCAATTTGTTGTCTTCTCTTCCAGTCTGCCAGCTCTTCATCGGTTAGATTCTTCTGTACGTAATCCATGGCAGTCAGCAGGCCCCCCATCTCGGTCACAATTTGCTAGAACAGGAAACACATTAAATATGAGCATATATGGATATTATTAATCAGTAGTCCAGACAGGCAATAACTTGCTGTCATTGTCAAACCAAGACTAACGAGACAGAAAAATTAAAAAAATGTCAATTCAGAAAGTGTTTACTGACAAATAGGAGCTCTTTACTTGGTTCTCTGTATACTCTGATTAAAACTAATTTTGCTAATTCTCAAATGTGCAGCTACAACACACTCTTCACAGTGCATTAAACCTTGTTTTGTCATCCCTACATTCAGCATTTCTTTATTCTTTCTTCCATTAAACAGACTTGACATGATCCAAGTTTAAAATTCTATATTGGATTTGTTCTGAACGCTCACAGTTTGATAAAGTATGACCACCCACCCTCCGGAGCTGGTCCAGCGCGCTCAGCATTTGCTCCAGCTGAGACATCTTCTGCCTTGTGGCAGCTGCCTGGCTGTTTCCGTTCAGATCCTGGGACAACTCTGGAGACAGCGGATCAGCTAAAGTTACCGGCGTCTTCATATTTTGTGATAAAGTTGAGAAAGTACCGTAATCGTTAAAACCTACCTCCTTGGCTTTTCAGGGTTTTGTAATTAAAGTCAAAATCATCTTGCAAGTTTTCGAGCATCTTCATCTTCTGTTCCATATCCTGCAGAACAACAAAAGAAAATGTCCAAATGAAGTAATTACAATATGCTAAAATTACCTAAAGTCATTTTGATGCAGCGTTTCAAACAATTTGACAGCGAGTCTTTAATAAAACTGACCTGAACCCGCTTCCTGATGTCTTGAAGGTTGTGCTCCAACATTTGCTGTTTCTCTGTCACAACAGTTCCAGTGGGATGGGCTGCCTGACCATTCTGCAAGACAGTAAGGACAGAATAATGTTTAAAACTGTGTGCCAGTGCACATTTCTTATTTACTATTATTTTTCCTAAACTAAATGGAGTCTCGTGCTAGACTGGTGTAATTGTATGTACCTGTGATGCAGTGGTGGCGTTCTGCAGGAGCCTCTGTTCTTCCCACAGACAACGGGCAACAATTCGAGCGATTTCCATCGGCTTCTCCAGATATTTGCTCTGCAGATGCTGTTTGATCCTGCGCAGGTTATGCTGGTAGAGCACATTGTTCTCCTGGAGGAAGCGGCTGTACTGCTGGTCTATTTCTCCCAAAAGGTTGTGGAACACCAGTGTAGCGTGCGACTCCTTGTTGGCAGCATAGGCCCTTAAAAGAACAGCATAAAGTCAACACGTTACAAAGATTTCTACTTCTCACAAAAATATTTCCATCACAAACAAATGTGTTTGTTTAAAACCTTTTTGAGAGGTTTTATAACAAAACTGACGTATTGGTTTAATATACAAGATACTCAACAACAAACTGTCAGATTCATTGTAACAAGTTGGCAAACGAGAAACAAAATGCAATTTTTAAACAAACATATTCGTTTTAGTTTTTTCTCACCAGTCCTGACTCTCAATCCATGGGGCCAGGAACTGCCGTAGCTCCATAGGAAAGCTGTCGCTGTACAGGTGGTAGAGTTGCTCCAGATACCTGGTTTCCAGCTGCTGTAACTGGTTCCACTGGGCCATCCTGACACGCACTGTTTCAACAAAGGTTAAGCAGGATGAATATCTAAGAAATGCACCATAGCTAGTTTGTTTTTTACAAAAAAGCTTCAACACATCTTTCACATTTACCAGAAAGAAATGGCCAACTGTCACGTTTACCCTGAAAATGATGACGAACCAAACCGAGGCCTCCAGTTCAGCACAGTCACTTCCTGTTCTCTGAAACACCAGGCTTCCACCAAGCGATGCAGGCCGTTTGCTTTCTAAGCAGATAGGAGTTACCGTAACGATCTTTCACCGCTGTCGTTGCCCAAATGAGCCTCGTTAGAAACAAAACCAAAAAAAAAAAAAGTCTTCCTTTTCTCAGCCGTGAAACGGCAACAGAGCACATGGATTCGAAACTACAGAACCATTTCCTTTTTATGTGATAAGAACTGGCTTTAATGGTAACTTTATATAAAAAAGTCTAAGCACTCTGTAACTTCAGACATATTCTTTCATTTAACAGGTTATGAAAGTCTTTTTTCACCTGGATGACTTTAGTCTGCACACTATTGTTTCATGCTTACATAATGCAGATATTGTTGCATTATGATTGAAAATTTGATCAGTAGGCCTGTCACGATAACAAATTTTGCTGGGCGATTAACTGTCTCAGAAATTATTGCGATAAACGATAATATTGTTTGAAATTTGACAATAATCAGTAATTATTGTCAAATTGAAGAAGTAATGTTTAATTTGTTTTGCATGTAGTGCCATTTTTAGACCACAAGATGACAGTAAAAGACTGTTTGAACCGAAGGATGGATAGTGAGGGAGCGAGCAGCGTGTCTCTTTAAGAAATATGGGAGGGAGGCCCATTGACATGACATGGGCTGTCTCCCTTCAATTCTCAACATGTCGGACGCTCGGTGTGGTTTGAGCTCTTTAGCATTTTTCACACAAAGCTTTTAATTAATTTTAAAGAATCAGTAAACAAGTTCTCAGCTTCTTTCTGAAGATAAAAACTTTTTACACAAAGGCACGAGTTTCAACCGTGAATTTTGGAGCTTGGACAAGACGGCGTTTTTTTCCTGAGGTCGGCCTGTTAGCTTAGCTCGTAGCTTAGCTTCTCAGCTTAGCTGCTTTTAACGATCCTAAAACACGATTCTGAACGGTTAAAACAGATTTTAAAGAGAAAGGGAGGGGTCAGTGAAGAACTGGAGTTGAACCTTTTGTCATCGAGTGTCTTCAGTAGAAAGAGAGACACAAAGAAACATAAAGCCGATAAACTAAAATGAGGTTGATAATTTTCATGTATCATGCGATTAATTGATTTATTGTTTATCGTGACAGGCCTACTGATCAGTGTTGAACTGCGCAGCTTACCAAGATGCTTGCCCTTAGTAACTGATGACACAGAAATGTAGTGACTAAACCGCATTTTCAGTTTTAATATCGGTTGAACTTGTTCCTGACCAAAAAATGGTTGCATCATAAACATTTGCAAACAATAAAACTAGCAGAATTAATTATACGCCTATCAAATGTCTTCAGTAGTTTGTATGTTGAGCTATATTAAAAAACAAATCATGTTTATTCTAAAACATTTAATAAAATCCCAACAACTTTCAAAAAATGCAGCTGATTTAAGTCCCGTCTGATATTAATATTAATATATAATACAATATTATACATTTATGAAATGTGACTTTGTTTTCAGTGTTTTATGTGATTCAAGGCAGAGCTCTAAGACAAAATTTACATTTAGTCACAACAAATTTTCTCAGCAGCACATGCATTTTTTAAAGTTAAGATTATGTGTTATCTCACATGGTAATATATTTCAAATGATCCACGTTCCTCTTTCACAGACGCATGAAAACAAAACACCCGGTGTGAGTTTCTGAAAAAGGGAAAAACCCAAGTATCACACTAAAGAACTGATATAAAAACATTGATATTTCCTGCATATTTGCTCATTTGCAAACCTAATCCCTTTATGGTAACATCTATATCAGCTTTTAAAAACAGAACATTTATAAAAGTTTAGAAACCTTATTTTGTCTTCAGAATCTTGACCATTTCTTTCAATGCACTTGTTTGAATAAAGTGGTGGGTGGTGTGCTCAAAAATGTACAGACTGTTGTTCAGGGTCTTTTTATGATGATCAATAATTCAGTGTGAACAGCTGCAGAGAGGACAACCCAGTTTCATTATTAACTACCATCTTAAAGGCAGCTACAGTTTAGCTCAGAGAGCCACAACACCCAAAAGAAGCGTTTTAGTGTAAATGATCCACTAATGCACCCCTCAAGAGACTGAACATATCGTTCGAGGGTTATAATCTCTAATCTAGGCCACACATGTTTCAGAATGATGCTCACGTTACAGTTATTGACTGCCAGACATGGAGTGATTCTGTCTAATTGTCAATACCTTGACTTACAAGATTATTTTTAGAGTCAAACTTTAGAGTATACGAGAAGGGTGGACTTTTTAGAACGAGTCAGTAAAAGTACAAGCCAAGCCAAATGTGTTTGTCCTTTGTTCAATGTGCGGGAAGAGTTCACCACTTACCCGTAAAGCACAATGTGATTCCTTAAAATCATAGTCCTATTCCAGGAAGTACTACTTCTAAACAAAGAAAACGGTAAACCATGCCAAGTTTACCTTCTCTGTTGTCAGTTCACACGTGACAAATGCAAAAGGGCCATCGTTTATTTGAATAACACAATAATATCCATTAATTTCTGAGTCGAAATCTAAAAATGTTGATGTCTATCAATATTGCTGGACTTTTTAGGAGGTGACTCATAAACCTCTGGATTAGGGTTATGTAAAAACTATAAATATGGGTTGAAAGGGCTGAATCGTGATGCTGACATGTTGCATGCAGATGGGATGAAGATGGGCGTGATGGCAATGATCTGAATGTGACTGGAATAAATATAAATCCTGGTAAATAATCCTTCAACAATAATAAGTTGAGCCAAAAGGTAAAATTCACAACTTAAACCCACAAGATTAACACTCGTTAGATGTCACGTTGACTGTAATCCTGTAACATTGAAGGTGGAATCGCCTGATTAAATCGCAGTTTAATAATAATAATAATAATAATAATAATAATCTGATCATGACGTCACTGGGACAGTAGTGCAGGAGTTTAGCATTAGCAGCGTTGTTTTAGAGCTAGCCAAGGAAAACAACGCGCTTTCCAGTGATTATAGAATCAACAACGACAATATAACACTAGTAAAAATAATAATAATAATTTAAAAAAAAAAACAGAAAAAGTATGAACTAAATGCAGAAGTCGAATCGCTTACCCGAGTCGTTGTCACTACTTTCGAAAGTTTCGCCGACAAAAGCCGATAACTTTAAACTAAAATACACTGGCAACACCAGCCAGTGCCGAGTTTACTGAAAATCGAGCACCCATAAACGAGAACAAAACACTTTAGAGAAAAAAACACTTTAAACAGATTGTAACTGTCGCTCTTTTCTTTCTAGCACGGGAAACACTTCTCTGAGACAGAGCAAGACGCCCAACCCATCAGCGACATTGCAGTCTTTCCAGCCAACCAAACTTCGTGATGTTCTTTATCGACAGCTCAAACTACCAATAGCAGTCGCCTGCTCTGGTACAACCAATCAGAGTGCTGCATTTAAGAGAAAAAGGCGGGCTATTACTGTGCGCTTGGTTGAGGATGCTATGTTTACTGCTGTCGCAATTGAGCTCTTCCGTGTTGCGCATCCTCCCTGCTGGAAAACCATTTATGGCTACCGCGCCTTCTGTTGTTACGGAGGGAGGAAGGACAAAGAAAAAGAACAGCCAGCCTGGAAGTCATCTGAGTTACTGGCAGTGCTGACGTAATCGAGTCCAATAACACAAGCGCTGTTCAGAATTGATATCCACCAGTCAAAATTGATTAAAAGAATTGTTCAAACGTCTTCTCATTACGCAAATAGAACTGATTAACATATAAATGTGCACATGAATGACTGACAAGAGCGGTAAAAAACTTTAATGCAATTCAGGAGAAATAAAAGTACACACATTATTTAATAAGCTTTTATTTATATAGAACTTGTGAGGCAAACATATGAATTTGGCAAATACGAGGCAGTGAAACCAAACACAAGCCAAAGGTGTGGCATTATGCTGCAGACAAAACCATGCCTAATCTATTATTGCAGACTGTTTCAGTTTCCTCTGAAGCTTTTAACAAGGCTGAATGTACACGGTGGCAAAAACACAAACACTCCTAAGCTGCAAGTGAGAGAGTTTACATATCTTTGCCAAAATAAATATAAAGCTTAAAAATAATCATAATATGTGATCTAACAAGCCCACGACTGATTAAAAAAAGCTAAATATCTTGATTTCATCATCACATTATCTAACACATCAGCATTCTTTGTCCTGTCACTGTCCTCCACTCTGCTCAGTTTGTGCACAGAGCACTCGGCCTAATTGCATTTCTCCACCCATTGATTATTTCAGTGGCGTTTCCTCACCACATTGTGTGCTCTCGTGAGTCTACAACACATCAAGGTCACACAAGTCTGCAAGGGGAGAAAACAGAAGCTCTCCTCTTTGTCCTGTCTGGAGCTTTAAGCAGTTTTCTTTCGTGATGTTAACAATGCCTCGGCCAGTTTGCGTCGAGATGAAAATTTATTCCTCTTTGACAGTGACGCATAAATCGGTCAGTTTTACAGATACTGAGCTGAACGTTGGTGTGGTGGTAGCTGAGAGTCATCCTAAACGCATCCATTGCACAACAGTTTTTCTCACAACTATGTCATTGTTACCGTTAACACGGACTGTTAGTGAATCATCTCATGAACCGCTGGACGGATTTTGATGAAAACTTCAAAAAGTTATTTTTGGATGTACTAAATATCAATGACTGATTGACATTTGTAGTAGTAGTGTCCTAATTCCGATTACTGTACTGGTATCGGGCCTGATACCAGCCTCAAATACTCGTACTTGTACTCATATAAACACCTCGATACTTCAGTCTGATGCCACTTTGATGCTTGGTGACATTTCTCTTCCACTTTGCAAATAACCGAGAGCAACAACAACAACAACAAAAAAACATGTCTGCAGTTTGGAGCTATTTTTAGATTCATACAGGTCACAAGAGCAGAATGTTTGTTGTGTTTTAAAAAGTTTTTAAAAAAGCATTGCATAATGTTTAAGTACTAACTCATTCACTACTCAGTACTCAATATCGGCAAGTACCCAAACTGAAGTATTTGTATTTGTACTTGGTTTGCAAAAATAAAAAATAAAAAGCTAGTATCAGGACACCTCTAGTCTACCTATTCCAACATGGCCACCACATCTGACACAAAAATGCCAATAAACTTAATAAAATTTAATAAAATTGAGGTAAAGCTTATGTGATAGTAACAGAGTCATTTTGAACGCACTTGGAGCATTAGCACACATTGCAAGATGTGGCTGTGGCAGCCATTGTGATTTCTAACTCATGAAAGGTGGTGGCTGATACAATCTTTCAAAGAATCCTCGAATGGCCTGAAGTCATTCGTAAAACCAGGTAATGTGTTGTCTTGGGCTTAGGATGGAAGACATATTTTCACGTTTACCGAGTCAATCGTTTGACAATCACTTTCTCTTCACGTCATTCTCTTTTTGCTTGCAATTACATTCAGTTTTTTTTTTATATATATATTACAAACGTGCAATTGTTCTGTAATGAGCTGTGACCATGGCGACAGATGTTTTTCTTCTTCGTGCATTAGTGACTTCGGTCGAGCTCGGTGAGCACACATCCAGAAGCAACAACAATGACATGATGATGTACAATAAAATATCACAGTGGATGACAAACCACAAATTCAAGCATACCATGTGCTGCCAAAATACATTGCAGAAAACATTCCATTCTAAACTGCAATCTTAGCGGTTGTAGATGAACAGTTATGTTTAAATCAGAAACACAAGCAAAGAACACAAAAATAGAGTACCAGGATATTAAAATAGCAAATCCTGCAACTTTTATTTATTCTCAACACACTGAAAATGTACTAAATGTACATTTTTGATTTGCTATCTAGTCTTAAATATATGGTTACATCTTTTATATTTTGTGTAGTGATTTAACTGTAAAATATTGTGGACATAAAGTTATTTGTATATTAACGTCTGTCATCAACTTTAGTTATACAGGAAAACATTTTTCAGCACATATTTCCTTCTATAACAAAAAGCCTAGACCTTTTCTTTGCTTCACATACTCTTTACATTAAACCAATGGTTCTCAACACTGGTCCTTGAGGAACACCATCCTGCATGTTGTAGTTGCTTCCCTGCTTTTACACATCTGATTTAAATGAATGGGTGATTAACAGGCTTCTGCAGAACACAAGGGAGTAATTAAATCACTGAATCAGGTGTGTTGGAGCAGAGAAACAACTAAAACATGCAGGATGGTGTTCCTCAAAGACCTGTGTTCGGAACCATTGCATTAAACCATCCTTTTGCACATAAATCCACGTTTCTTTGTCATTCGTAAGAATGTGTCATAAAAGGGACACTTTTCTTACTTTTGAGTTACAAAATATTACTTTTATAAATTATTTGCTTTGCCCTTTTCCCTTTGATGACAATAAATCAAACTAAGAGCACATAAATCAAGCATAGCAGTCAGCCTATATAGGATATTTTATAAGCTAGCTTTGTTTTTCGTTAAAAATCGGATAAATGAGCAAGCACGAAAGTCATCCCTGTTAGGTTAAAAAAGGAGAATAGAGATCAGAAAGTGATCATCTCATGACCATTACTGTGTCTTTCTCATCCAACACGATCATCAGGACTGTTCCCTTCTTCTTCCTCGACTGATCTGTGGAGCTTTTATTCACTTTGGGTCTTCTTTAGATACTCTGGCTCCAACTTAACCAGAGAGTCTTCAGTTACCTCTAACGGAAACTGCATTTCGGGGCTGTCTACATTCACTAGCTCCCCTTCCTCCACCACCACACCATCTTCTTCCTCTGGCAGATCCTCTGTCACCTCCACCATCTCTGTGTTCTGCACCACCTCTTCCACCCCCTCTCGGATCTTCTTAACGTGGAAGGTAAAGGGAGGAACCCGATACACGGTTGTCTTGGAACGAGCAGAAGACGGGTGATTAGGGGTGAGGGACTTCTTCATCTTATCTCTGGAGCTTTTTATCTTCGCTCGGCGCTCCTGGTTTGGGGTCATGCGGCTTCCGAGTTTGCCCATTTGTTTTTCCAAGCTGTGCTTTGTCTTCTCCAGGTTGTCGCGGGTCTTCTGCCTCGTCTTCTCCAGGTTCTCACGCGTCTTCTGTTTGGTTTTTTCCAAGTTTTCCTTGGTCTTTAGTTTGGTTTTCTCCATCTGCTCTTTGGAGAAGACCTTCTTGATGTTGTCTACTTGCTGCTTGGTGGCATGTTGAATGCGCTTTGTACGGGACTCGATAACAATTTCATCAACCACAATGTCTTCATCTGAATTGGGGTTTGCTTTGTCTTCCTCTTGGCCATCCTCAGGGATCTGCTCCAGGCCCTCCACTGCTTTACTCTCTGCTGTCTTGGATTTGGATTCTTTTGGTGTCTTCACTTGGTCCTGGAGGTACAAAAAAAGTAACTTTTCAGTTTCAAGCTGACATGGATTTATACATTTTAATGCAAACAATAAAAGCTGATTTAAAAAATGCCTGGAAAATGTGGACCACGTGAAATGAAATAAATATTAAAAAGTAAAAGCATGAAACTTTGCAGAAGTATGGTTTATTAGAATGATCAGTGCAGCACAGTAACTGGTGCAGACTGCCATCTAGTGGTCAGGAGTATGCCATCCATGATTTACCACCTAGTCAGAGCAGCACAGGAATTGGACCAAACATAAATGTTGTGTGTGTGACCCAAATCTAAAACAACTCGACCTTAAAGACAATTTGTTCTATCTGCAAATGTAGTCAGACTGAAGTCAGCAGCTTTATGCATCTAACCACACTATTTCCTGCCATTTGTTATTGACATGGAGAAATATTGTTTGGGCGAAATATTTCAAAAAGGTAAAAACATTCCAGATTACAGTCAACATGTTTTAAAAAATATACATACAAATCACTTTTAAATAACAAACGTTTTCAAAATTATTCATCTGATTTGAGTGAATAGACTCGGTGGTTCGGTTAGTTTCAGTTTACACTCAAATCTGCAGCACAGCAGGTTCACACTTGGTCACAGATGATCTTACATGCAAACTGAAATTGGGGCACAGTGCACGGCAATACACAAAGTGAGTCATTAGTGAAAAGAGATCTATGCTTTAACTCAATTTTTTACTTTAACTTTGGCAGAAAAAGAGTCATTACTTCCACATTAAACACAGTGTTAGCAAGTGAGGCGTTTGTATTTGTACAATGTGTTGTGCATCAAGCAAACGTGGCTGCTCAGCTGGAAAACCAACATTATCTTTAAAGGAAGACATAAATGGAATTGCACAAACGGCATGTCTGCAACCCCCGGGGGGATTTGTGGGTCCACCTTTCTACACATTGGTGCTGCACCTCGTTGTGTCTCTGCAGATACATCTTTGCTCTATTAGCACTGACTTTACTCATTGTTAAAATAAATCTGTAAAGAACAAAAGCAATTAGTCTTCATGGCTTTATGTTTGCAGTGGACAGTCCTAAGACATAAACAACAGCCTTTTAAAGTTATATTTTTGTCAAATCTTTGAAAAAACTCAAATATTAACTTAATCTTAACAGTTTTTTAAGGAAAAAATTCATGTTATATTAATATTCATGCATTAATAATTTCTTTTGAGCAGCGCTTTTAGGTTTATTGTATTTAAACTTGATGGATTTGTTCATATTAAAGGTGTTGCTGTTTTTATTCTAAGCACATCTCACTGTGTTTATCTTTCCTGAAAGTTGGCAAGAACTCAGCCGAGCGCTTAGTTTACGTTGAGTGCAAACCCGCATTTTCAGATTGCGTTCAATATATCTGTAAACGTGATGGAGGGAACGTTTTCAAACTGCTCCAGTTCAGGAAAACATTTTTAATGACTGAGAAAACAAACTTTGTATTTGGATGGTTCCAAATATTTATTTCAGCCAAATTCAGTGGCACGGTTGAAACATCTTTTGTACATCATGATCCTCAACAGCATTTCATTTGCTCCACTGCAAAAGGGAAAGCGATGACGTTTAAAATGAATCATTAGCATGAACACAGCTCCTCTTCAACATGTTTCCTTGTCTTTAGAGTTTGGATTCGTGGCGTCGCTGAGGAGCAGTATAATATTAACGAACAACAAGAGTTAAACTCGTGAAAGGTTTAGAGGAGAGGATCAATGTGGGCCTTGATGAGTGACTTCTGAAAGACAAGCTTGTGTGAGATCAGATAAGCAGAGCATTTCTCTGCCACATGATCCTATCATAAACGGACATTGCCTCCTTATGTGGCGGTGTGCACGGAGGGCCCAGACGACCCGCTGTGTGTGCGTTTATTTTGAGCTGGCCTTTCCCTCTTTCTGGATTCCAACTATCGGTCTCTGGCAACCAGCCACCACATAGCTCGCTCCTACAGACGCCCCCCCTCTACCAAACAACACCGTCCCCTGCTGCACAGCAACAGATAAACAAGCTCCCCGTAGCCATGGCAACCACCCTCACGTTGTCCCTGCCGCGTGCCAGAGTTGAGCCGGATAAACAGCTGACACCTCCACATACTGTTGTGTTGTCGTGAAAATTTAAAGCAGCTGCGTTTACAGGCAGACATATGGAGCGAGCCGGGTGACACGGGCGTGTGCACGTGTGAATTTACTGCCTTATTTCTTTTATAAAGGTGGACAAATGTTGTTTTAACAGAACTAAAACAAAAAAATGTGAGAATTAAAGAACCTCACACTTGGACAACGAAACATAAACTTTCATGTGTCAAAGCCACGAGAGCCTGAATATGAAGAATTTGCAGCTAAAAGAAGAAACAAATAAAGTAAGAAAATTAAAACTACCGTAGTAGTGTGACCCGGCAGATATAGGCAAAGTGAGAAAACCTGTCATTACAACCAAACACCAAGTTCCCCTCTTTCTTTGGACAAAACAAACAAACAAACAAACAAACAACAACAACAACAACAACAACAACAACAACAACAACAATAACTGTTTCATGTAACACAAACAAACAACTCAAAAGAATGATTACTCAAACATTTTAGTTAACTTATAAAATCTTGTTTATTAGTTTATGGTTTTCATATATATATACA